CCCAAGTGCCCACCCCACCCCAGCAGAGCCAGGAGAAGCTGTTTTTAAAACCTTTTAGATAAAAATTTATTTTTATCCCCCAGAACCCTGGAGGTGCAGGCACCTGCAGCTGCTCCTGGTGGAGCAGGACATTCCCAAACCTTCCTGCCCACAAAAACAGCCAAACAGTGCTCTGAGAAACAGCTCTGGGAATGTGGAGGGGCTGCAGCAAACTGGGAATCCTGCAGGGCTCCGCAGCCCCTCACACACACAGCAACTGCAGGCATGAAAATCCCGGTGCTTGAGCATCTTCTGCTTCCATATCTGAGCCTCTGCCCCCTCTCTGGCTCTTCTAAAAACTCTATTTGAACTTCATTTTACTCACACCAAGGGCCTGACAGATCTCTGGTACCTGGCGTGTTCCAAATCTGCACAGATCAGTGCTAAAACCCCAGTTCTGCTCCTCGTTTTATCCAACAGAAAGCAGCAGTTTCTGTCTGTAGTCCATGCTGGCTGGGCTCCAGGCTGCTGTGGCGTTTGGGATTCATTTCAGCCACACTAAAGGTGCCACAGAGAATCCTGAGCCCTTCCCAGGGACAGAACCCCCTCCACAGGTGCTGCTCTCTCTCCACACCAACCTCACAAAGTTACAGAGATCATTTTAATAGCTGTCATTTTGGTGAGAAACATCTCAGCCTCTGTGGATTAGGGGGAAACCCACAAAAAGCTGATTTCAGACCTACAATGAGCTCAATTAATGCAGTTAGAGGGCAAATCACACCAGTTTTTAGTATCAGGATTATTTTGCTGCACTTCAGCAAACTCCAAAGCTCTAACAAAGAGTCTACACTCTACAGCACTGGAAATGAGGGGGTTTGGAATAAAAAATGAACCCACAGGCTTCTGTGTGTGACACCTGCATCAAGTTTGCATTTCCAATCCAGACAGGGAAGTTCCAACACAGCAGAGCAGAGAAGGCAGAGCCAGACACGAGCGAGGGCAGGATTCTGTCAGGAGATGAACCCCACCCAGCTGAGAGGCTTTGAGACATTCTGGTTTTAGGAGAACCCTGGTTTTAGGAGAGCATCAGAGGGGATGGATCTCCTGTCCCAATGGACTTCGTATCCCAATGGATCTCCTGTTCCAATGGATTTCCTATCCCAATAAACTTCATATCCCAGCGGAGTTCATATCCCAAATTTCCTATCCCAATGGATTTCATATCTCAATGGGTTTTCTGTTCCAATGAATTCCGGCTACAATGGATTTCCTATCCCAACGGATTTCCTGTTCCAATGGATTTCCTATCCCAAATTTCCTACCCCAATGGATCTCCTATCCAATGGATTTTCTATCCCAATGGATTTCCTGTTCCAATGGATTTCCTATCTCAATGGATTTCATATCCCAAATTTTCTGTCTCAATGGATTTCCTATCCCAATGGATTTCCTGTTCCAATGGATTTCATATCTCAAATTTCCTGTCCCAATGGATTTCCTTTTCCAATGGATTTCCTATCCATGGATTTCCTATCTCAATGGATTTCCTGTTCCAATTGATTCCGAATCCCACTGGATTTCCTGCTCCAATGGATTTCCTGTTCCAAAGGATTTCCTATCCCAAAAGGACTTCCTATCCCAATGAATTTCATACCCCAATGAATTTCCTATCCCAATGGATTTCCCAAAATTCATTAGGGTTGTTGTGTCAGGTTTTTTGGTTTTTTTTTGGGGGGTGGGGAGATCTGGTTTTTTTCAAAGAAGCAATGCAAAAATCATCTGAGTTTTGTCTAAGGGAATTCCCAGTATTTGACACCAAAGATGGCTCTGCTGCACCAGTTCAGCCCGGGGACTGATGCTGCCACACCCACAGCCAGCCAGGAAGGTGATTAAGGATCAGTAATTACAACTCTGCTGCTCAGCTCACTCCATCCCAGCCAAGATCACAGCTCTGGAAATCCACTGGCACTGGGTGTGTCCATGGGCTGGGAGTGCCCAGCCCCACCCTGCACACCAGGGAGGGAGGAGGAGGAGGAGGAGGAGGAGGAGGAGGAGGAAGAGCAGCAGGGGGATCCCAGCAGATGTTTATGGTCAGAGCAGCACGGCAGGAAAACCTTCCAGACATTTGGATCCACATGCAAAAGCCCCCAGAGACATCTGGGCAATCAGCAGGATGGTCTCTGACAAATCTTCTCTTTCTTTTTACAGTCTGTGGGTTTGTGGATGGGGCCTCCTTTTGCACAAGATCAGCACCAGATGTGCAGAGAAATCGGTAAAAAGCAGGATCTTAAAGGCTTTCAACATTGCACCTTCCTTTGATGAAAACAGCAAGCAAACAGCACAAAAAATATCTTTCTTTACATCCATTTAAAAGGGCAAATTCATTACAAGTGACAAAAAAAAAACGTTAAAGAGAAAAAAACTTGGCTGAAACCTTTTTTCCTTGTTACAAAATACTGACTCTTTCAAATTAAACATTTTTTTTAAGTTCTGTGTTTCTTTTTTTGTTTGTTTTTCTCTGAACTGACACGATCCTCTGAAGCAAAGTTATCTCCTTCCACACCTTGGTGGGACCCAGGCCTTCCCAAGCAAATATTGCTTTATTTGACTCTTTTTTTTTTTGTTTTTTGAAAGTTTCTAACAGAGCAAAAGCAGAGTCACTGCAGAGAGAAGCAATGAGACAAAGGAGGACGACGCTGATGGACTTCCCAAGGTCGCTGCAGGTGCCAGACAATGGTTCCCAGGAGGGGGGATATGGTTGTTTGAAAAACAAATTTGGTGCATGTGGCAAGCGTGGATGTTCCCCGTGAGATCCAAGGTGACCATGGATGACAGACATAGGAAAGGAGTTGGGGGAAAAGGGAGAGGGGAGGGAAAGGAAGGAGGAGAGGAAGAAAAACAGAAAGAAAGAGAGAGAGAAAAAGAGAGAGAGAGAGAGAAAGAGAGAGAGAAATAGATAAAAAAAATTAGGTCATAAATACAGAAAACATAAGAATCAAAGGTTTAATTTAATCTCGTAAATTAAAATGGCTCAGGGTTCAAGGAGCAGCACATTCAGCACAAAAGGGGCAGAAGCTCAGCAAAGCCCAAAGCTGCAGAGCAGGGTCCAAGGCAGGGCAGGGAGGGTGGGGAGTGCAGGCAAATGAGATTAAAATGAGATTAAAATGAAGGGACAGAAGGGGCTCAGCGAGACACAGGGAGATGGTGTCTGGAGCCTGAGAGCACAGAGCTGCCTTCAGCAGGGAAAAAGGAAAACAAGAAAAGCTTTGGTGCAGCAGAGACTCCACCTGCCTGTCCAAGCCCTGCCCCAAAGCCTGGATAACAAATCCACTTTATCCTGAGGGAGCACCAAGGTCTCAGGAATCTCTGACTCTGCCATTCAGCCTCCCAGCTGCTTGGGAACCACTCCAGTGCCAGTGTGATGATTGTTGTTATTATTGTTATTATTGTTATTATGACTGCAAATAACACCCTTATCCTTCCAGCCACTCAGAGCTCTGCACAGGTGAGGGGAACAAAGGACTGCACACAACAAATGCACATTTTCCTGCAGGGAATCCCTGATTATTGCTGTCAGGCACAGCACAATTCCTGGTACAGCTCTGGCTCTGACTCCTGCACAGACCATTCTGAGATAAAAACACTGAAATGCCATGGGAAAGGGAAAGGGAAAGGGAAAAGGGAAAAGGGAAAAGGGAAAGGGAAAAGGGAAAAGGGAAAAGGGAAAAGGGAAAAGGGAAAAGGGAAAAGGGAAAGGGAAAAGGGAAAGGGAAAGAATAAGGGAAAGGGAAACGAAAAGGGAAAGGGAAAAGGGAAAGGGAAAGGGAAAGGGAAAGGGAAAAGGGAAAGGGAAAAGGGAAAGGGGAAAAGGGAAAAGGGAAAAGGAAAGAAAAGGGAAAGAATAAGGGAAAGGGAAACGGAAAGGGAAAGGGAAAAGGGAAAGGGAAAGGGAAAGGGAAAGGGAAAAGGAAAAGGGAAAAGGAAAAGGGAAAAGGGAAAAGGGAAAAGGGGAAAAGGAAAAGGGAAAGAAAAAGGACACACAGAGCCTCTTCCTTGGCAATAAAACCTGTGGGACTGCACAGCAGAGGAAAAACCAACCTGCCCCTGGACATATTCTCCTCAGAATCTCAGTCTGGGCACCAGGAAACACCTTGGGAGGCCAAAATGACAAAACCCCAGGAGAGAGAGTCACAAAGGCAGCAATAACCAGGCACTGCACCAGGACACAGCCCTTTCTGAGGAGCAGCTGAGTTCCAGCTCCTGGGGCAATCCTGCACGCCCAAAATCTGAATTTTGCACCTGCAACATCTGAGGCAGCCTCAGCTCCCAGCTCCTCCTGGGCTCCACACCGAGCTAAGCACGGAGTAACTGCAGAGAGGCCAGGAACTTTCACCTCTGGTAACAAACTGGCTTTCCCCTGGTTTTAGAGGGTTCCTGCTCATGTTACGTGGATTAAAGGGCTCAGAGGGGGAGCAAGGGTTAGAGCTGCTGCAAATGAGAACCACAGAGTGAGTTAATGAGTTACTGACGGTCCTTCCACCCAAAACTATTCCCTGTCCAAGCACCGCCAGGCTCTCCTTTGGCCCATCTCCCTCCTCCTCACTGCCAGCCCCACTTTTCCCACTTTTTCACCCATTTCTGTGCTCAACAACGCGGCCTGCCTCAGCCAAGGGGGCTGCAGCATTCCCACAAGGGCTGAGCTGTTCCCTCCAGGGAATGGGCTCAGGGGAGCAGGGACTGAAGGAAACTCTCTGCTTTCAAGAGAAACCAAGAATGAAATCCCACCAGGATGGGCTGGAGCACCAACCCTGCCTGTGCAGGGCAGCCCTGACTCAGCACCCCTGTCTTTAACCACCACAACCTCAATTTACGGCTACTCCAGCCACCCAACCTCAGGCTTTGGTTGCTCTGTGTGGGTTTCCCCACTGCTTTTTTAAAATGTCCATGTGTAGAAAAGAAATCCTAACTGTCCTCCCAACAGATTGCCACAAACTGCTCAGTTCCAGTTCCCCAGCTGAGAGTTCTGCTTGGCTTTTGCAGTAATTGTCCTCATCCCTCACTTTATGAGCACACCAATAAGTACACTCTGTTTTAAGAGCTTACAGCAGCACCCTAAAGCCTTTGAGTTATTTTCTCCTGATGTCCTCCTCAACACTGAACCGTCGCTGCTTGAAAATCACTGTCATTTGGTAATTTGAACTGAAAAATGCTCAGAGAGAGACATTTCACTGCCTTCTCATCCTCATTTGGTAATGTGAACTGAAAACTGCTCAGAGAGAGATCTTTCACTGTAGCCATGATATTTTCTGAAAAATCCTTTCCTTAGGATTTTTCCTCCTGAGACGCTGGGAGGCATCAGGAACAAAATGCAATCAATGGTTATCTGCTGCTGTGGAATGCAACAGGTGCATCTGTGATTGGTCTCGTGTGGTTGCTTCTAATTAATGGCCAGTCATAGTCAGCTGGCTCGGACTCTGTCCGAGACACAAGCTTTTGTTATCATTCCTTCTTTTTCTATTTTTAGCTAGCCATCTGATGAAATCCTTTCTTCTATTCTTTTAATACAGTTTTAATATAATATATATAATAAAATAATAAATCGAGCCTTCTGAAACATGGAGTCAGATCCTCATCCCTTCCCTCATCCTCAGACCGTGTGAACACCATCACATTTCACTGCCTTCCCATCCAAGTGCCAGCAAACTCCTGATGCCTTTACTCCTCCAGAGACGGGAAATCTGCCTTGTGCAGAGCATCACCCTGCAGAGCTGAAGGCCCTACTGGGGTTCAAAACACAAATTCCACTTCCCACTCTCAGAAAGCTTCTCCTACCCCACACAAGGAGCCACCATTCCCTGGGAGCAGCCAGGCAGGGGTTTCAGTCCCACATACCTGCCACAGGTATGCACGCAGCCACGACCCTCAGCCTCGGGTGGGGGCACCGACCATGAGAGAATGGGCTGGAAGCAAGCGAGCTCTGGGGGTTACTGGGGCACACAGGGGCAGCTCGGTGGCGTTAGGGGGCACAGCAGCAGTACCTGGGATCACCGTGGGCTGCGCCGAGGTGCGGAAGGCGTAGTGGGCTGGCTTGGACTTGCCCTGCTGGTTCTCAGCCACCACGTACACCTCGTAGTCGGCGTTCCAGTCCAGGGATTTCAGCATGACGTGGTCGCTGCCCGACGGCAGCCGGATCTCGGGCTTCCACTCCGAGGAGTGCTTCTGCAGGGAGGGCACAGGGAGCATTAACTCTGTGATCCACACAAAGCTGACTGTCAAAAATGTGTGTTTTGTCTGACACGGCATGGTTGTCATAGTCAGAACTGACTCTGACCCACAGAAAACTGACTGTGGAAAATGTGCGTTTAATTTGACAGGCCATTGTTGTCACTGACTCTGTGACCCACTGATTCTGACAATCAGAAAGCTGATTGTCAAAAATGTGTATTTTATTTGACAGAGTGTGGCTGTCATAGTGAGCACTGACTCTGACCCACAGAAAGCTGATTGTCAAAAATGCATATTTCTCTGACCCACAGACTGTGAAAAATGCATATTTTATTTGACAGGGCAGGGCTGTTATAATGAGCACTGACGCTGTGATCCACAAAAAGTTGATGGTGAAAAAATGCATAATTTATCTGACAGGGCGTGGCTGTCATAATTAGCATTAACTCTATGATCTACAGAAGGTTGATTGTGAAAAAATGCATATTTTATTTGACAGGGTGTGGCTATCATAGTGAGCACTGACTCTGTGATCCACAGAAAGCTGATTCCCAAAAATGTGTATTTTATTTGACAGGCCATTGCTGTCATTGACTCTGTGATCCAAAGAAAGTTGATTGTGAAAAGTCTGTATTTTATTTGACAGGGCGTGGCTGTCATAATTAGCATTGACTCTGTGATTCATAGGTGGTTGATTGTGAAAAATGCGTATTTTATTATTGGCTTTTTGCAAATATTAAAATGAATATTATATGCGTTATGTTAGAAAGTTATGCTGTGCTAATTTCCTTAACTTCAATTATATTACTATTTTTATAACCATTTTATTTCTACTAAACTTTTAAAATTTTAAAAACAAGTGATCTCTCCTGTTCATGGGCCACTGAGTGTCACTGCACAGCTGACAAACATTACATCATCCCATTGGGGGAAGCTCCGCCCAGGGGGAGGAGCTAAGCATTCCTACCTGGATACAATCTGAGGTTTGGGACACCAGCACAGCCTTTCCACTGGATTCCCAGAGGAAGAAGATCTACCTATCCTTTTCTCCAGGATCCCTGCTCCAGCAGAACCAGCCCTGACACTGCAGGAGGGCTGAGCCACAATTCCAATGGGACTGCTGCCCACACCCTGACCCACAGGGTGTCAGGTTGGGTTCTGACTCTGTCAGTGCTGTTCTAGTGTACTGCATTGTTTATTTTGATTTTATTTTCTTCCCTAATAAAGAACTGTTATTCCTGCTCCCATATCTTTGCCTGAGAGCCCCCCCTAATTTCGAATTTAAAACAATTTGGAGGGAGGGGATTTTCCATTTTCCATTTCAGGGGAGTCTCCTGCCTTCCTTAGCACACACTTGTCTGTTCAAACCAAGACAATTAAGAAACCCATTGCCTTTATAGACAGGTAGATTTAATTGCTCCTCTAATTCAAACACCATCACTGCTGGCTAATTAAGAGACTACTCTTCGGTAAACAAATCTCTATGGCACATTCCATGTGTTCACAATATCAGTGAACACTGAAACCCTCAAATGCTGTTGGGGGGAGAGGCTGAGATGCCAAAGCAGCCTCTCTCCTGCTCAGAATCCTGTTTTCTGAGACAAAATCTCCTCACCTCCTCCTCTCATTCGGCCCCTAACTAAATTATTTCCAGACAGCAAAAGTTGCAAGTTCTGTTCATTTAAAAGTGCTCCTTCACATCTCAGCATGTCAAATCTAAAGCAGGTGAGTGACAGAAATTCCTCCCTTCAACCCAGCCCTCCCAGGGCCCAGGGGGGCTCAGAGAATCAGGGCTGTGCCACACTTACAGCTTTGTACTTGATCAGGTAGTGCCTGATTGGGGAGCCACCGTCGTCCTGCTTGATGACGTTCACCTTGATGGAGTTGCCATCCTCTCCTATGTGACCTTCCAGCTTGGGGGCACTGGGTTCCCCTGCAATTCAGGGCATTCAGGGTTATTTGGGGGGAAAAAAAAGTCATTATCAAGGAAAAAGTGCTCGTAAAAATTCAGAATACTTCATCATCCTCAGCTCAGGATGAGCTGACCCAGGCACAGAGAGGACACCGTGTGTTTGAGGTAAATATTTGCCACACCTGAGTGTTTCTTGCATTTGAAACACCAAATTTCCATTTTTGCATGTGCTGGAATGGAGTCAGAGTGAAAGAGATCCCTCCTCCCCAAGAAAACCCCAGAGAATGAGCAATTCCTGTAAGAGCTGCTGTGGAACCCCTGGCAAACACCAGGAGGGCTCTGTGGCTGCTCCTGAGGGTTGGGATGTACAGAGCACCCCTGGGAAGGACCCCGTGCCTCCCACACAGACCCAGGTCTGCACTCGGGATTTGTTTGGGGGTTTAAGAGCTGCTGGACCATTTAAATGAATGTGGAAACCCCTGAACAGAACCCAGAGCACATCCCCTCACCCAGCCTGCACTGTGGAACTCCAGGGGATGCTGGAGAGAAATTCAGAGAAACCCCTTTGTCCTCTAGAATCATTTCCCATCCCTTCGCTCCTCTAGAATTACTCCATTTCTAGTAGAAAAAAGCCATCATGTCTCAGACTGCAGAAAATGGAAATGTCCCTTCCTCCTGCAGGGCAGGAGATTTACAGGAGGGATTTGCATCCCCAGCCCTGCAACCCACAGCTCCCACACTGCTTCTCCTCCCCAGCTCCTCCATTCCCCCATGCCATGGAGGATCCCAGTCCCACCCTGCAGCTCTGCTAGAAAAGCCAAACACAGGAGGTCTGAGTGCAGATTTGCACCTCTGGATTTGTGTCCAGCTCAGGAAGGTTCATCTCCCAGCATCCTTCAGAAGGAATCTGAAGCCCTTTCCCCTCCCTCCTGCCTTTCAAAGGAATATGAGCACAGTTTTGTGGTGAAACACCAGTGGGAAACTGCAAGGAGCCGTGATTTAAGATGAATTCCAGGCTGCAGCACTGCCCCAAGAAGGGAATCAATCCCACTGCAGGAGTGTGGGACACACACATTTGTGTTTAACAACTCCTCTGATGGATATAAAGAGGCAGCACTCCTTTTTCCAAGCTATGTTCTGCTTTCCCAAATCCTCTCCTCTGCCTTTATCCCCACTGCAGGGCTCCCACAACCCCTGGATGTTCCAGATGTGGATCCCACCCTGGCACAGCTGTCCCAGTGCCCACTGAACAGGAAAAGGTGACACAAGTGTGGTTTAAGGCACAGACAGACAGGAAATCTCCATCCTCACCTGGGCACATTGAACACCTCAGTTAAACAAGCAGAGATATTTTTTTCCTCCATCCCAAAAGACAAACAGCACCACAAAGTCCCTGCTTCTGGATGGGGGGCTGAGTGGCAGGAGCTGCTCTGCAGTAATTGTCCTGTTAGTCACCAATTGTCCTGTTGGTCACCAAAACTCACAGGAACCAGAAGGCAAAGCCTGGTTCTGTCACCCTGAGCCCAAAGCAGCCCCCAGGGCAGCCCTGGCCCTGCTCTGGGTGAGCCCTCAGGAGCAGCTGGGCTGAATTCTCTCAGTGTTGGTGGCACAGCGACAGAGCAAGAGCAGCATCTCCTCGCTCCTTCCCCAGTCCCCATCTCAGAGCTGATCATTAATTGATCATTAATGAGCACAGAGATCCCCAAGGGCTGAGGGAACACTGCACTTACAGAGTCTGACCTTTCCTCTAACACAGGCTGCATTTTGTTCCCAGTGACTGAGCACTGAGACTAACAGGAACATCCTCTGAAGAGATGCTTATTCTTGATTTGAAATGTCAGAGATGCTGCTGTACCTTACACACAGCCATTCCCATGATTAATTACCTGCTCTGCTGCAACTTTTCTTCCTTTTCTTCATGTGAATTATCTAATTTCTAGCTCCTGATTCACCCCTTCCTCCCCAATAGTTTAAATTCATTTCAGCTTTGAGAAACATTTCTCTTCAAAGAAAAGAACACTCCTAAGTGCTGAAAACCAACAGGTGGAGCAGTGCAAGCCCTGCTAAGGCATAGTTTTCTCTCCAGAAATAAATATTTATTTCATTGATCTCAAGCAGGTGGGTGCAATCCAGACACAGGGCTGTAAAACGAAAACTGGGTTAGTGTGTCAAACAGAGGAGGAAGAAGTTTAGTGGGAAAAGTTTAGTCCAGCAGAATCAGCAACCCTATGATGAGTGAAGATGTGAGTAGCTGCAGAGAGAAGGTGGTCAGAGGAGGATTCATGCTCACACATGCACGGGGGCTGCAAGGCACACCAGCACCCAGGGGTGCTCCATGCTCAGCCAGGGCAGGAACCAGCCTGTCCCTCCCTCCTCAGAGCCCTCCCAGCTCCCAAACAGGGGAACCCCTCAGGGACCCCCCTTTGCTGCTGCTGCTTGGCTGGGGAGAGGCAGCAGCTCCACAGAGCCCAGATCTCCTGCTGGATCACCAGATATCTCATTAAATCCTCTCTGTGCAGGACCTTGTGCTCCCAGGGATTGAGGGACTGAGGCTGATGCTCAAAGCTCCCCCAGGACACTGAGCAAAGGAGAGAGCAGCAGCCTTTGCTGGGATGCAGGAGAGCCCAGCCCTGCCTGGGGCAGCTCCACAGGAAGCCAGGGCCAGTCTGAGCAAGGAGATGAGGCCTTTCCTCCAGGCTCCCAAAGCTGCTGGGGGCAGGGGAGCTGAGGGCAGGGCTCTGAGCCATTGCATTGCCAATTTAATTCTCACCCACTTCCTGCTAAGCCATCAGCGCTCTGATCATCCGCTGCTGCAGGGAGCAGGAAATGTCTCCTGGTATCCTCTGAACCCTTTGGTTTCTATTTGGGGCTTCCTTGCCCTAACACTGCTCTGCTGGATGGCAGAAATTCTGGTTTTTATTGTCTTTTTCAGAGGGTGCCACGAGCACCAGGAGTGGGTGCAACTTGAGGTGGGGAGAAAAGAGAAAATGAAAAATCTCTGAGGTAAAATCCTTGCCCAGCTGGCAGCAAAGCAACGTCCTGCATCCTCCCTGTGCTCAGAGAGCAAACCTGGGGAATTCTGCAGCAGAGGAAGGAGGGAAGGGCTGATTTCTGCAATCTCTGAGCACCACAAAACCAGGGAACAAACACCAGGGAGGGCAAAACCACAGAGAAAGAACAGGCTGGGGTCGGGGTGCACACCAGGGGAGCAAACAGCAGCAGCAGAAATAAGGAACAAAAGCAGAGGTGCAGGAATGAGACAGGAACATCTCCCACCCTGCTGGATCCAGCAGAGGGGCAGAAATGAGACAGGAACATCTCCCACCCTGCTGGAACTCCAGCAAAGGTCTATAAATGAGACAGGAACATCTCCCACCCTGCTGGAACTCCAGCAAAGGTCTATAAATGAGACAGGAACATCTCCCATCCTGCTGGAACTCCAGCAAAGGTCTATAAGTGAGACAGGAACATCTCCCACCCTGCTGGATCCAGCAGAGGGAGGAGACAGGACAGGGCTCTGTGCATGCATGGGGAGGTTACTGGTGTTAGTTCTGTTTTCCTGGCAAAGCCCAGCCTAAACCCCTTCCCAGCCAAAAAGACAATTCCAGAAGCAGGAGCAGGAGCTTCCCCCCTTGCCCTGCTGGGACTGGGCTCAGGGTGAGGTGTGGCAGTGCCAGGAGCTGCTCTGCAGCACCCACAGCTGCTGTGGGCTGAGTCCAGCTCACACAGAGCCAGGCTCCATCCTCTGCTCCTCAGCTTAAAGCCTTGCCAGGCTCAACCATCTGCTCCTTGTTCTGCTGGGGACCATCAGCTCCTGGGAGCTGAGCTCAGCTTAAAGCCCTGCCAGGCTCAATCATTTGTTCCTCAGCTTAAATCCCTGCCAGGCTCAATCATTTGTTCCTCAGCTTAAAGCCCTGCCAGGCTCAATCATCTCCTGAGCTCAGCTTAAAGCCCTGCCAGGCTCCCAGAGCCTCAGTGGAATGAGGAATGAGGGGCTCTGGCAGGAGCCAGATCCTCCCTCTGATGAGATCTGTGTGAGGTCTGGCTCCCACCACAGACTCTGTGTTGTTTCACAGGATTTATATGCAGAATTTTATACTGAGAGAGGATTTTATAACAGCATTTTACAGACAGAGTGTTTCACAGCACAGCTCTCATTCTAGCTATGCTTAAGTTTCACTCACAATAAAAAGGAAATTGTTTCTTAAATCAAATTGTGGCGTACTCCAAATAACCAGATTTCTAAAAATTCAGGGTTATTTTTGAAGGCTACTAAACAGTGTGGATGTGTGCCTATATCTCTATAGAAATGTGTATTTTATAGGGTCAAAATGCTGCTACAGCAACAGGAGAGAGGGTGCTCCCAGAATTTGCCCTAATTTCCCATCAGATTCCAGTCTGTGGTTGGTCCCACGGAGAGGCAAAAGGATTTTGGCCTTTGGTGCTCACTCCAGAGGATTTTCAGCACCTTCCCAGGACAGTTCATTGCTGGACTCTGAGACTGAAGAAGCAAATGACTGAGCCAGGTGATTTTTTGGGGTTTTTTTTCCTGTTTTCCCTCCAAGTCTTTTCCATCTCAATGCAGAGGACTGAAGTCGAGTTCTTCCCATGCAGACAGTGACGAGCAACTCCTCCAAAAAGGCTCAGTGGGATTTTTGTATTTTTGGGGTTTTTTCCTTTGGAATTTGGAGATCCCACAGGGGAATCCTCACCCCAAAAATCTAGGCAACCAATCAGAACAAAGTGTTTTACCTTCTGTTCACCAGCGAGGACGACATCATCAGCACCATGCAAGCCACATGACAAATTCACATGATACGCACGCACATGAGTTTGGTTGAAAGGAAAGTGGAGGAGGTCACATGGAAAATACAAAAAAATTAAAAAACTGATGTAAACAATGGGCAAGGGAAAAAAAATCAACAACAGAATTACAGAGTAAATAAAAATAGGAGCAAAATTAAATTAGCCAGCATATATCAGAAACACTGAGGGGGGGACAGTAAAACCACCTGGAAAATAAGAATATTAAACCACAGCAAGCACTGAGTTATGGCCTTGTGTTAGGCACAGCTGCGTCACTGCTTAGTCATAGGAGGAACAAAAGGGACAAAAATCATTGGAGTGAGTGCCAGGACTGCTGCAGGAATCCACAAAACTGCTGGGAAGAAAAAGGGAATTATTGTTATTCCAAGGCAGAGGAGGTGAAAGGGTCACAACCAGCCCAAAAGGAGGACAAACCACAAACCCTGGCACCCCAGAGTGGTGTGTCCTCCCTCTGCAGCACCAACTGCTCCTGATCAACAACAACAACAGCAGGAGAGAGGGGACCATGGCCAGGGACACTTCTCACCCAGGAGCAGTGGCTGGATGGGGTCAGTGCAGGCAGTGACACCGAGGGGAT